GAGGTAGAAAGTCCAAAGATTAATTCCCAGTTGTCAAACCTCCTAGGGTCTGGGGTGAATCTATTATTATTATTATTATAAATTATTACTATTATTATAAACTTGTCATTTTCAATAGTCACAATTACCTTTACGTAAAACTGATGTGATATTTAACTTTCATTTTTACGGTAAGATTTAAAGAGTTAAATTCATGCACAAATTCTAGTACACAGAAATGTTCGTTAACTTTGGCCTTTCCTAAGACACTGGGCAATGAACGAATAAGCACTGCAGACACTGAGTTAGATGTGCTAGACCAGAGGATGGCGGTGTGTGGCCCTTTAAGGAGAAGTCGGTATGATTTAAGGTGGTGTTCACAGAACTTGAACAAAAGTGCTTTTAAGAGTCTAAAGAGCCTAGAGCCTTATAAGGCTCTTTAGAGTTTGGCTTTTCTCTTTTATTAATTCTTGTCCTTCTGGATTTGTAAACAATTAGGTGTACCTAATTGACTAATGACTTTTCAGTTTTAGTTTACTGGCAAATGCCCTATTCCACCTTTGTGTTTGAAAGAATTCTTCATGGACATAGATGTCTTGGTCAATGACCTGTTTTCTTCCAGGACTGTGGATGTTATTCTACTGTCTGCTGGTCCCCAATGTGTCTGATGAGAAGCAAACAGTAATTGTAATATTCCCATGTACTAATTGTTCTTTTTTTTTCTTTCCGTTTATCGAATTTTCTCTCTGGATTTCAGAAATCCATGACAGGTCTAGATAGGAATCTCTTGGTCTTCACCCCATTTGGGTTACTGTGAAGCTTCTTAGATATAGGGATTACACATTTCACATCAAATCTGAAAAGTTTTTGGCCATTATTTTTCCACATATAATTTTTGCTTTTTCTCTTTCTCACATTCAAATGATACATTACGTGTATGTGAGTGCCCTTGACATTCCCATTGGTTGCTCATTCTTCGTTAGTTTTTCGTAAACTTTTTCTCCTCTCTGTTATTCGTATTGGATAATTTCATTGTATTTTCTTTAAGCTTAATATGCTTTATTCTGCCATTTCAAATCTACTATAAAAGAAAATTTCTTAAATTTCAGGAAATATATTCACTTTAATTTTTATAATTTTCAATTGTAGGATTTATATTTTGCTGTTTTAATAGTTTATATTTCTCTATGACTATTCTATACTTCTTGGAATATTACATTCAAATTTTCTTTACATCTTTATAGTTTTTTGATATATTAATAAGTCCTTTACAGTTATATTGTTGCTAAATTCCATTTCTGGTCCCATTTAGAGTGAGCTTACCTTCACTTTTGACTATTTCTTGAGCATGAATTATTCTTTTTCACACATTCACATATTTAGACCACTTTATTGTCTAAAACCTGGAATTTTAGAATATATAGTCTGGCACCTTACATTTTATTTTCTCCAAGGATCACATTTTATGTTCTTTGTTTATTTTTAATATTTTAGTTAGTCTGAAAGCCTGGGGTCCCTCTCCTCCGTGTGTGTAGCTGCTATCTATGCTTCCATTGTCGTTTCTTCCTTGTTTTGCTTTATCTCCATCTTGGCTCCCCAAAATTGTCCCCACATCTGTACATTTTAGGGAACCACCAATGAATAGAACTGAGTTTGTAAGGCTCCCCCCCCAGTTAATTTGGAAGCGGGTTGGTAAGTACATTAGAAGTGCACCAGTTCAACATGGCGTGGCTCCAGTGCATCTCCCGCCTCAAACGCACACTTCACCAGTTAGCCATGTATATGGGGAGAGCTTATAACCCTTCTAAGAAGCTCTGATTTGTAAGACCTTCCCAAGGAATTTCTGGGTTGTCTGCCACTTAACCCCACCAAGATCTCAATTTCAAGCTACGACTGTGTTTCCCAATTTTCCTAACATGCTGGCTACTATTTTCGACAATGCTACTGGGGAAAATTTCCACCCTTTGTTTTGTTTTAACTCAGACACCTCTGTCAACAAAGCTGATGACTCAGAGAGCCCCCGCAACTGCAGTAAAAGTGGCCATTTTCAGCGCCTACTCGAGGAGTTGCAAAGGACAAGCCCAGGCCAACAGGCTAAAGATACCTGTTGTTCTGAACCCAAAATAAAAATGTTTCTTTGGAAATAAATGCTTCTCAATCTGTTGTTTTCCAAACCAGTAAAATGTTTTGGGGTTTGGGTTTTTTTTGACATTTTTTGTAAAATTTTATACTTGTTTTGGGGAAGGGAATTTTCAGACATCTTTCCTTCCCCGTAAATGAAGTAAAGATTGTTTTGTAAACATCTGTTTTATAAAACAATGTTTTATAAACATTTACTTACTGCTCAGGTGTGTCAGAGCCAATATCACAGGGACGTGGGTATATGTACACATAGTGCTTTTCCTCATGTTGCCATTTTTAAGTCTTAGGAACACGGGAGCTACGTGCTTGCAGTAACTTGTGTGACTTTTATACGACAATGGGGACATTTGGATATTGGCACTCCTTGATCTAACACTTGCTTTGTAATAAGGGGCGGTGGAATTTTATTTCAGCTGGAAATATATCAAGTATATGATGTGATTCGGGGATAAAAATTTCATTATTTAATGAGCTTCAGAGATTATATTAATTATAATTTTTATCTTTATGTTTTATAAATAAGAAACTAACCCCCATAATTTCAGGACGTTCAGGTACTTAAACGAGCTGTCATGAATTTTCATGATCTCTAAAGTTCCCTTCAATCTTATTTTTTTTTCTAAAAAGAAAAATGTTGCTTAAACATTTAAAATGAACAAATAAACTAATTGATAAGGAATACCTGAATACTATAACTATTTACATTTTGTTCATGAAAATTTCACTGAAATCTGATTTGGATGGAGTACATTGCTAAAAGATCAGGATACGCTACGGAATAAAGTGTTCCTTGTTTTTTTGAATTTTTATATCCATAGACCCAATGATGTTAACACTGATTATTTATTTAAATAATGTTTAATATGGAAAAATGTTGAGCGAATCAAAAAAAATTAATCCTAGGTTCCAAGTGGATGTCTGTAGCAAAACACAGTATGGGAGGGATTTCTGTGTGTGTTCTGTTTGTGCGCATGCCTGTGTGTGTCCTCATGTAGAGCAATGTATCATGAATAACATATTTTAATAACTTGATTATTATTGTTCATAATGTAATGTTCATATTTTTATATAGTACAGTAAATACAGTTACCTCTGTTACACTTAGGATAGTTTAGCAAATGAACAAACCTGTTCATATCCACAATGAGGAATAAAGAAATTGAATCCTTCTGGATTTTGTGAGTTTTGTTGAAAAATGTGCCCAAATATACTTCAAATCACCCAGGCACCGTCTGACTCTAATGAGACTGCTTTCAACATTACTTAAATGTCACCTGAAAAGCAGGAGAAATCTGGCGACTGTCGTGTAATGGAGTCACCATGGGAACGTTAGCATTTGTGTCGTTCAGGAGAACTGTCTAATTTGTGGCCTGGCAACTTGTGAAAAACAGATCTCGGAGTGACAAAAACATATGCTGCTTTATGTGTCAAGAAATCTAGGTTGGTTTTGTTATTGCACCAGTAACGAATGCTAACATATACAGGCAAGCACGCTAGAAGTCACGCTGTATACAGTCTGTTTATAAGATCTTCTGTCTCCATTGAAACTGCCTTTCACACTTCCCTGGCACTGTGGCTGATGGAGGATTCGTCATTAATGTTTTATAGAAATCCATACTAAAACGATTTAAAATAGGGGTATAAAAAGAGAAGCACTGCTCCCAGCTTTTAATCTTTAAATAAGGTTTACACTTAGAACTACTCACAAATGTTAACTACAGTGCCACAATTTACTTACTTGAATCGCTTAATGATAACTATCAATCATTTTAATCAAAATTATCTTACATGAGTCCTAAATTGCAAAGGCTATGTCAGTTCTTTCAAAGGGTCTTTCATCATTTTGTGTAGACGATGGAAATAAAAATAATCATGTAAAACAGCGGTCCCCAACCTTTTTGGCACCATGGACTGGTTTCGTGGAAGACAATGTTTCCACAGACAGTGGGGGAGGGGGTTGGTTTCAGGATAATCCCAGTGCATCCCATTCAAGCTCACCTCCTGCTGTAGGGCCTGGCTCCTCGCAGGCCAGGACTGGTACCGGTCCATGCCCGGAGGCTGGGGCCCCTGATGTAAAACATACTGCCACTTTTTTTTTTACTCCAGCTCCAAATTTCACAGAAGCTTAAAAAGCCTGAATATTACTAACTCTTTTATGGACAAGGTTTTGAAGAGGAATTGGTAGCCATGAAGCTACCGATTAGATGCACTTACAGAGATTTAGAAGGCAGGACTGAGGCGGAGGGGAAGAGGATTCTGGGGCTGGTGGCAGTTGTCATTGTTCGCTTATGGATCTTCATCAGTGTCTAATCTTCATTCTGGGTCAAGTTCATACCCTGCATTTGGGGACACTGAGCTTACAGTGGCTATAGTCCCTTCATATGACTCCCGGAGCTCAGGATTGTAGCTTCGGGTGCACCTTCGCAAGCTCGCCAGTGTTCAGAGGCCACGCTGGCGTGAGATCTGAGAGAGAGCTTCTTGTCGTTCTGGAATAATTCTAAGGTACAGGGACTAGAACATGATTTTCAATACGCAACAATTTTTAGAAGCTTCATGCTCTCTGTATTACATTTCTTTATGACTGAGTCACCTAATAGAGCTTTTATTTTTTTCTCTTGAATTTAGATGAACTGTATCTATTGTAAAGTGTTCATTTAACTATCCCTTAATAAAAATGCAAAAAGTAAAATATCCTATAGTTAATAGCTTGAGGGTAATATTGATACAGATGATTATTTTTTCTCTTGGAAGAGGTTGGCAGATATAGGCAGTTTTATATGATGATCACCAGAAATAATTTTTTACAGTCAGACAATAGCATGTATGTAATCTTTCAAATGACTTTATTTCTTCGGAGAAAAAATTAAATGCTTTAATGCTTCGGAAAAGAAATGCTTTATTTCTTCGGAGAAATAAAGCAACACAACAAATGAATTTTAACCATGTCCCTGAATTACTGGTATAGTGACTTAATATTGATCCTTTGTCACACAGTAATGATATAGATGAGGATTTTAATAGTTCTCCCTCAATAAATCACAGAGAAGTCCCCAACAATTATACTCAGAAACTTGAACACATCTATCTCAGAAAAAGTGAAATTCCTGGTACTGGTGGATCAATCTATTAGACAAAAAAACAAAACAAAACAAAACAAAACAAAAACAAAACGAGCACCAGGACAGAAGTACTGAGCACAGTGAACCAACTCTTCCCAACTGACATTTAGGGAAGCTTCTATGAGGCCAGCATTACTTTGGCCAAAGTTATAAAAATATATTACAGGAAAAGAAAACTGCAGATTCCTAACCAACAGAACATGGATGCAAACACTGTGAATGCAATCTTCAGGAATACGTGGAACAGAGAAAAATATAAAATAGCGCTGACAAGTGGAAAGCATAAATAAATGGAGAGATAGACCTTGTTCATGGGTTGGAAGACTACTTATTGTTAAGATGCCAACTTATTCCAAATTGGTATTCAGCTGAGGCCAGTAACCTTCTCTGTATGAGTCCGGATAGCAAGTATGCGGTATTTGCCAGAGGGTCTCTATCAGTATTCAACTCCGCCCCTGCAGGAGGAAACTAGCTGTAGACGTAATGTAAACAGATGCCACGGTGGAGTCTCATGCAACTATGTACAAAAACAGGCTATAAGGTAGTTTGGGAAGGGAGCTGTATTTAGTCATTTCCTGATTTATAGATTCAACTAAATTTCTTACATTTCCAGCATGGATTGTGGGCAAAGCTGACCAGCTAATTCCAAGATTAACTTGAATATGCAGTGAACATCGAGAGTCCGAACAACTCTGCAACAGCAGAGATGGTGACCTGGTGCTTCCTCATTGCACCCGGAGCTCTCCTACACTGCTGGCGGAGACGTCAAATGGTGCAACCACTTCAGAAAACACTTCGTCAGCTTCTTTAAATTGAAATGTGCACTTACCATTTCATCCCCAGGTATTTAGCCAAGAAAAATGAAAACTATACAGGAATGTTCATAGCACTTATATTTGCCATAAAACAAACTGGAATCAAATATAAATGTTCATTTACAGGTAAATGGTTTTATACTATGATATATCCATGCAATGCAATATTATTCAGCAATCAAGATAATGTACACAGATACATGGATGATTTTTAAAACAAGTACACAGAGTGAAAGAATCCAGACCAAAAAAGGAGCATGATGTTTGATCCAATAGCATAAAAAAATTAGCAACTTCAGTGTAATCTATAGTGACAAAAAGCAGTTCAGTGCTTGCTTTGTTGGGGGTTTGGAATGGGTGGGAAAGCATGGTAACTCAATTCCAGGAAACTCTGTGAGGTGACAGAGGTGTTCTGGCTTTTATTTGTGGTGATAAATTCTGTGTGTGTGTGTGTGTGTATGTGTGTGTGTATACACATGTCAAAACTAATCCAATTGTAAAATCTAAATATGCACAGTTTATTGCATGTTCATTGTGTTTTGATAACCAGTTAAGAGTGATATGTGGGCAAATAACATCTCACCTAATCAGACAAGGACTCTAATTGAAATAAATGCTAAGACAGGGCTCGCCTTAGACACAAAACATAAATGCATAGGCAAGCACAATAGGGTACAGATAATGGGCCGAAACGGTAAAGGAAGTCATGTGCGAGTCAGCTGGTGCTCACCGGTTTCCATTTTTGACCACGTGCTTCTGATTAGGCAACGTTCTTGTCCACTGGTCCCTGCCCACGCAGGTACAAATGCTTAACATTTTGTCTCTGAGTCCTGTTTCATGAGGGACTAGGCGAAAGAGAGCATGGGAGATTTCAGTAACCAAAACACATTCTTTCATTGCTCAAATATTTATTAAATGCCCACATTGCTAATCGATGTGCAGCAGGAACACTGACAACTGTAACAGACATGCTTCCTTTTGTCATGTCACTGGGGGGTTACTACCGAACAGAGCGTGGAATGTAAGATGTGAGTGTACAGATGTAAGGCTGATGGACCACAGTCTCAAGTTCCTTCACATCACCTAACATCTAATATTTTACAACACTATGATTAATCAAACTCAGAGAGACTTACACCCCTATGCAACACAAGTGGAGAATGCAAGAGTTGTATCATTTCTTAAATAGCTCTATGGAAAGGGACTCTCCCTTAGAAGACGTTTTGGGTTACAGGACACGCTCCAACCTAGCCACTGTGGCCAGGGCCCCTTAGAAGGGGTTTGATTGATACCGCGGTAGAGCACACTACAAGCTGAAAATCCTTTGTTTTCAAGTGCGTTGATAGTGTGCCTCAAGCTGTTCTGTAATAGCGTGATTTCAGATTTGTCTCTTCACTGATGTGACTGAATCCAAAGGAAAGCTTAGGAGACAGAAAGCTGAAAAGTGTTGGAGCTGTGCAATGGGATCTTTTACAAGTAATTACCAGAATGAGTCACCATTCCGATAGGCAGTAGCATTGATTTTAGTCCCAGTGAGAATTTATTTTTTGCCTTTTAAGTTATCTGAAAGCCCTCAGTGAAGAAATGCTGCTATTTCATCATAAACCTTTAAAGCAATGACATATGGGAAGAATGATTTCCTTAACTTCCTTTCAAAATATATTTGAAAACCATGGAGCTGGAGACAAACTCATAATAATACCTTTTAGACTCTATCAAGATGTCGATAATACATTAGGGTGAATATGCTTTATACACACACACACACATACACATACACATAGAGAGAGAGAGATCAGTGTGTAAATTTAAAAAATCTACACACAATTTAACCTGTTATTCATGCTTTATTTAAATTGTGTAAATACTTTCAAATGAATGATAAAATGAGGAAACATTCCGTGTAATCAAAATAGGCCTTTTTTTCACTGACTTCCCTTTATTTTTCTTTCCTAACCTATATCTTCTTATGGTATAAATACTTCTTACCCTTACAATAAAAATGTGCCTAAACATAGACAGAGAGGTGAGTAGCAGGATCTCTAGCTCCAAGTCTGATGGAAGCCATGATAAAATAGACCGAATATTTTTCTAATTGGAATATTTAGGATTATGTTTAATATTACCTATAAACAACTCAAAATACAGTTTTTATTTTGCTCTTTATTCAAAGCAGTAGTGTAATACTTGTGTGTGCATGTGTGTGTACACACACATACACAAAAACATACATATATATATAAAATCTCAATTATATAATCAGTGAATTTTAAAGTACTTGTCCATTATTTACTTGTCACTGTATCTCCGTGAAGGAAACCCCTCATTCATACACAGTATTTAACACTCACATATTGTACAGCCCTAGATGCCAGGCATTATGTTAGCCACTGGACTATTGGCAAATATTGACAAATAAAGATGGAGTCTTTCTTCCAAAGGAATTTGCTAAAAGAGTTTTTTGATTATAAAAAAATAAAGAACTAACACCAACTTTCTTCAATAATTCTTCCTTAATTTACTGGTAAGCCAGTGTTGTTACCTCCTTGGAAGAAATAAGAGCATAAGTAGAACATATGTATTCTCATCCATGTAATTAAATATATAGATAATTCAGGGTTATGATACATCCTTCCACTTGATAGTACTTACAAGTGACTTTACTCTTTCCTAGTTCTATAATCTTATATATTTAACTTAAACTTTCTGGCTCTCACTTACCTTCTTGGGAACTAGGAATAATAATACAACCCATATCAAAGGGTACTTGTGAAGATTAAATACAATAATTCATGCAAATCACTTAGAAAAATGCCTGATGTATGTATGACTAAAATGTCATATATTTTGTTTTAATTATCAAATATTAAGCAAAGTATCATTTTTAATGTTGATAGCTGAAATGCATATGAAAACAATATCAGCTATTGAACATTGAAATTTTCAAATATTTATAAATGAACCACAGATAAACACTGAATACTCAAAAGTCTTTTTCATAGATTTGCCTCCTATATAATAGCATTCCTTATCCTCTAACAAGCAAAACATTCTTCTAAAATCCTATAACATCAGACATAAAATTTATTTTTTAATTATTTAGTAATTTTCATGTCATCATATTTTAGTGTTTTTCCCCAGTGCCCTATATTTCTTTTTTGTGTCAGTTCTGTTTTGAATTTGAAGTTGCTTCAAAGCAAGAAATGGTTTTATTTTTTCCTCTCCTCCTAATACAAATTTATCTATTAACTAGTTAAATATTTCTAGGTTTACTTTTTAATAATATTAATTGTAAATATTGATTTAAAAACTATAGTATAATAAAACATGAGTATTTTATAAATTATAGTTATTTTTGGTTCAATTTAAAAAGCAATTTGAAAAATAATGTTGATCCAGTGTGTGACTTATTTAGTTTTCACAATACCTGTCAAAGAATTTCTATTTTCTAAATTTTACACATAAGGAGGCTGAGTTTCAAGATAGAACATTTTACTCAGTATAGGCAGCTGACAGAGTAGGGTGTGGGGTCAAAAAGGACTGATCTAACTTGAAGTCAATAGCATGCCAATTATTTTTTTTAATTTCAAACAATATATAACTGATTTATCACTTTTATCCTTTTAAGCCTTCCTTTTTATTTCAAGAAGTATTCTAGCATAAAAAAACTTAGAATCATATTTAAATGCCACAGAAAGCAACACTGAAATCTTTATCTTACACTTCTGTTTTTTAATGAAATAGCCCTACTTTTCTTGGCTGTAGAAAAATACCTATGTTAAAGACTTTTATAATTTTACCAAGACCACAATGAATCAAACAAACAGGAAAATAAACTCATATCTGAAATCCCTTTGGCCAAAGGCTTTTAACAATATGAGTTCAGCCAAGCTTATAATTTAATTTCTTTCTCACACATCTTTATAAATCCCATCTCTGATCATAGGGTCATGTCTTCATCGTATGGCCTCAACTTCACAGTGTGAAATGAAACTCAGATACCAGAAGTCAAACAAAATAAGAAAGAAATTCATAGGAGAATAAGTGGAAGAAGAAACTTCACTTTCATGTACAGAATCTTAAGTTATTTTCTGTCAGAAGAGCAGTTGATTGAATATTGTTCATTTTGAAAAGGTGTTTCCAATGAAATAATGAAGGTACAAAATAGATACTTAGCATAATTTTTCTCTGTGATTGTTGCCTACATTTGAAATATTTTGGAGCTCTGAATCTTCAACTATAGGAAAGTCATAAATATGTTTTACATACCTCCAATGCAGCTCTAAGAACATAGCAGAATTATACAGTAGCATATGCTCACCTTCAACTAAAATGTGAGTGCCTAGGAAGCAGCCAAAATCATGTGTTACTTATAAGAAAATCTCGAATTCTTAAAGTCTGATATATTAAAGACCTCTCAGGCCTCAATGAAGCTGCCACCATTACATTTTCTTCCTCCATTCTACCACGACCTCATGAAGCTACTTCATAGTCTCTGTGTATACAACACTCATTCATTCTTCTAGATACATATATATGTTTCCCTTAGGAACTAAATCTCTTCCTTCCTCACCTTCCTGATTTTTATGACAAAATTATATTTATCCTTCCAGATTAACTTCAACTACTGTATTAGTTATGACTTTATATAGTCATAAGATTATACTTCTATCATAATATTTGACGTATTTCACTGTGAATACCATCATGCTTCTTTGTTTCTGTTTGCGACTTTCTTTTGCCCAGTACCCTGTTTTTTCTACTGTGTATCCACCCAAAATAGAGACTTACCATTATCTCCCTACTATCTTTTTTATACAGAGTGGAAGACGGGTTCCTCCGTGTATCATTAGGAAGAGATTTTATCAGCTGCGCTGGCCTCATTCCTCTGACAGCTGATGAGCCCCAAACGCCTGCTGGCCCTGGGAGGCAGGGGTGCACGGCAGGGGCCTAGCCAGCACAGCACGCAGCTTTCCACACCATTGGTTAAAAACAAGAAACAGACCAAAATCGGAACCAAGGACATCAGCAGGGAAATAATCCCTCTTCCCGGGGGAGGGATTGTGGGGAGGGATCACAGTGGTTAAGAAAGGAAGCTGTTTACTTAGTGGGGTTCTGGCTGTCGTTTTTCCTGCCACATGGAGAAAACGTGTCTATAAAATGATTTGAAGTTCTGAGACAGTCACCTGAGATGAGAAGAGAGATATGATGACATTAAAAAAAAATCCCTGGTCAGACAAACAAAGCAAAAGCTGAAACTATATTTAATACATATGCATACTTGAATTTTTAAAATTATGTTAAATGTTATTTTGTGAGACATTTTTACCTTTGACTAAAAATCTTCTATAGGCTTAGAGTTGGAAATATTTGTTGCTCATAAGGGTATCCCTAGTGGCCAACATTATTTCTGACACTAATCGATGCTTAGTAAATAAGTGAATGAATGTAAATACATTAGCTGTTATTGGACAGGCTTAGTTATCTTCACAAAATTAATAAGATTATTATTTAGATGAGATTTCCCTGCTTTATTTTTCTAAAAATTGCTCAACTTTATGTCATATTTAAAATCATATGTGCCTCATAAATTAGGATGAACAAGTTTTAGTTTAGAATTGGCATATATATTATTCTTTATATATCCTGTGATGTAAAAAATCTGCTTCATAAAAGTATTAGTATGTACATTGAAAGTAAAAAACAATGTGGAGTGATAAAGTAAAAGAAAAATTAAAGATCAAATGTGGCCTCTAGAATATATGAGAGAATACTATTCATTATTGTTATGAATTACCAAAGTTACTGATTGTTTAGAATAATCAGAAATAGGAAGAAGAGAAACTATAACTCTCCTTTAAAATGTAATTTAAAAGGACTGTATTCTAGTGATTTATATTATTTAACTGTTCATAGTAAAAATTAATTTTAATAAATAAACAGATAATAATCCTCATCACCCAAATGAATTTAGAAAAACTTACTTATAGAACAGGTCACTGACATATTTAGTAAATGTAATTATTTATAGAAGTAATTGAAAAGTGCTATATTTCAAAGATAAAATTCTAATACATAACATATTCGGAGGTCACAATATGTTTTAGTTAGAATATAAATGTGTTTTGTAAATATTAATATAAGATGCAGCTTTATCATAACCTATGTACATTAATTTACAGCTTGTTTTATGCTGGTTTATATCACCTTATTTATATTTAAATGCACTATGCATATATATTTTAAAGGAAAAGACTTAATTATATTAGTTAATGTAGCCATAAAACAAGTGTATGACACTAATATTTTTACTAAAATTTTTGTCTCCAAAGAGATTTACATAGAATGCCCATATTATATACATATTTTTCCTTATGTACATTGAGAAAAATAACAATGATCTTTTTTGCTCAACTTTCTAAGTACAATATAAATTCCATAATTAAATAATTAGTCACTTAAATAAGAAAAGTATACAAAAAGGTAGTTATAAAAAGAGGGGTTGAGGTCCATTTTCTCAAGATCCAAATCTTGTCTCCTTAATTCCAGTTGACCTGATATACAGTAACCTTTATAAGCATCATTTTTAAATATGCAAAGAATAAAACATCCCTTAGAATCTACTGGTTGATTAGTAGATGAGATGATGAATTAAAGATAAATGGACTATTTTTTATTGCTCTGATGTTTACTTACACACATTAAAGATACATTTCTGCATTTAATCTTAAAATCCAGAACACTTTGACACTACTCCAGCTTCTGAGAAGGTGGATATGTACTTTTCCTCATTCACCTCACTAAGTGCAACATGCAACTTTGGCCGTTACAAAACCAACATACAAAATGCTGAGTGGTGGAAAGAAGGAAGGCCACATCCTTCGTAAACACAGACGTGAAGAGCTTTAACCAACTATCAGGAAAGAAAATTGAATATAAAAAAGAATTACACACCATGACCAGATAAGCGTTTTCCAGACATGATTGCTGGATCAATATTTTAAAACTAATCAATGTAATCCACAAAGGAAAATTCACATGATCTGATTAATCAGTGAAGGAAAAGAAGCATTGGACAAAACTCAGCAGCCATTCAGAACGGGGGAAAATATTTGTGAACCACACAGCTGAAAAAGTACTAGTAATTAAAATATATAAATAAGTCATAAAACTCAGGAGAAAAAATAACATTTCAATTAGAAAATAGGGAAATGAACAGAGATATTTCAATAAATATATACAGATTATTTAAAAACACATAAAATTATGTTAGTAATCATTTGCCACTTGGATAAGTCTGACTATCTAGGATAATCTTTACCTGAGGTCAACATTAATCACATCTACAAAATACCCCTGCAGAATTTCTTATGTTAATGTTAGATTGAATAATGAGAGACTACAGAATACTCAAGTCGATGCATACAATTTGGCCATTAGAGTGAGTAAGAAAAGAATGTAAGAAAAAATGGGAGAAGAGGAATTTGAGCCATCAAATAAGTCAATTAAACAATTCTTACAAGAGGAATAGAAAAATGTGTCAGGAGCAGCCTGTTTTGTGGTGCTAGAAATGATTATTATATTAAAAAATACAATATTGGTTTGGAAGGTAAAAGTGCCAGAGCAGTATCCTCAGGTGTTTGTCAGGAACTTGATTCCTGCATAAACTGAAGCGCTGGTCTTAGAAGTCAGGAAGGAAAGTGTGCCTGTCTTCAGGGGAGGGGTTGCAGAAATTCTGGGTTAAGATGCTGGTTATCTGGAAGAAATGGAAATCTCAGTTCTTTCTGAGAACAATCATAAATAAGAACATTGGCAAAGAATGAGGACAGAAGAGTGCATGACAACACAGTTGTGCGTAGAGGTGAGCATGAAACACTCACCCGAGAAATGGGAGGACATTAAAGAGGTTGGAAAATAAAACAATTAGGGCTTCAGGGAACGGGTTCATGTCACGGTTTTCCAGGGAGAGCAGTCATCGGGCTGTGTATTTTTCACTAGGTGTGCTCAGCTTCAGCTTCTGTGAGGGCTAGGGCAACAGTCCGTGTCAGTTACCAATCCAGCAAGTGCAAGGTTGAGTTTGCAGAGCAGGGAATATAACAACTGGCCGTGGAATATAAACTGGTTAAACAGGGATGTAAGAAATATATGCTAAGAAGTAGAGTAAAAGCATTATAGATGTAAAGGGGTTATGGGTTTGGGGGATGGAAATCCTGCAGGGACTAGGTCGAAATAAGAGTTGGGCATCAAAACGTGAATCTTTGAAGATCAGTTTATGGAGAGATTCATGCTTTGTTAATGACACGATCTAGGAATTGCCGTGGGGGGAAGAGGTGAACACATGGCGAATTCCAAGATTATTTGAGGAAGGGAATTCAGAGAATCACAGATCAAGGTCAGGTGTACATTGACATCATAATGAATCAAAACAGGAAGTAATTAAATAATGCCTAATGTAATGAAGGAATAAAAGCGTGAGTGGGTATGAATGAAAGTCTGAATGCCAGTCACTCAATGAGCTGTTTATGGCAAATAATTATTTACCATAACTATCAAAAATTTTATAATTATAATTTTTAAACTTTACTAATTGATTTTTAGAGAGAGGGGAAGGGAGGGTGACAGACAGGGAGAGAAACATCATTGTATGAGAGAAACATCAATCGGTTGCCTCTCATGTGCCCCTAACCCAGGACCTGGCCTGCCACCCAGCCATGTGCCCCACCGGGGAATCAAACTGGCCACCTTTTGGTTCGAAGGCTGGTGTTGAATCCACTGAGCCAGACCAGCCAGGGCTATAATCTCTATCATCACAATCTCTTAACTGAACTAATGATTATTAGTTACTGCTAATAAGAAAAGAAATACAGACTACTCTTACGAAGAATTAAACATGCAGCTTCAAAAGTTATGAAATTTTGCACAGAGAATACATAACGTAAGGTCATATTTTTTACAGTCGGGGTGTAAATAGGACAGCAGGTTGGGCCAGACTTAGCAGAGAACAGCCATAGACGTGACCACTCTGAGGAGTGCAAGGTCAATGTATTTGACGTAAAATAAGCAGAAAGAAAGTGGCATGTGGTAGGCTTGGCTCAGAACATGAACAGAGTTAGAGACCAGCTAAAGATTTTGTCTAAAATACAATGAAACATTTTAGATGGGTTTTGAGGAAAGGGAACTTTCCTGAAAGGTCGAAGTTCTTAGACCTCCGTGGGTGGTTCCGACCCCCCACTGGTACTTCCTGTCAGACGTGGGATTAGTGAGAGGCACCCCCGGGGGTCTGTCGGGTCACTTAGAGAGCCCTCCCCCGCGTGCCCACCCGCGACAGATAGCAGAAAACAGCGGCCTCACTGCTGGCCCTGGGAATGAGTCTGCCTCCTGTCTGCCTTCCCAGGGGGCAGAGCTGCCAAATGGCTAGGTGTCTGTCTCCACATCCAGTGTAATTGGGATGAGGAGGATTGAATCGGGAAGAACTGACTTCTCAACAACAGTCAGCCGTCCGATCCATCTATGAATACAGAACCTCTCTCCACGAATGTAGATCATGTTGATGATTTTCTCAGGCTTGTCATTTTCTGCGTACTGAGCCTGTACTGATTTGGTGAGGTTATTCATACCTAATAGTCTCATTTCTTTTTTTGTGCTATCATAAATTTGGTTTTGTTTATTTTGTTTTCACTTCTTAAACTTGCTTCTTGAAGTTGAATGTGCTGGGCTGAGCACCAAGGGGACATGCATTCGTTACAAGGCCACAGGCAGTCCATCAGCCTGAAGGATGTTTCATGCAAACAGAGCTTTCCGACTTCCTCTATTGTTTGTGATGAGCCCAGTTTCCTAGTTTGGTACCTAAATTTTTGGTTGTTTTTGCCAAGTCCTGAGATGAGGGTTATTAAGCTTCCTATATCCTGGACAGAATCTCCTTCAAACTCCAGTGTGATTGTTTTCATGGTTACAGAAACGTATTTCAGTAAGTTCTCACAATGGGCTAATGAATGGCTACTCTCCTTGCAAACTGTACTGCCATTGCCGGAGATACAATAATGAATAAAGAAGGCCTTATTGTAGTTGTTAGTACTACTGTATAACAATGACCTCTCCCGGAACCTGCACATTCAGTTCGATGCCTGAGACAAGCTTAGTCCCTCAGTCCCGACTGGAGTATATAATAGCTCATTTCTTGATACAGCCAGGGCTTATTTTGTTTTAAAAAGTCACTTTTCAATAGGACAAAATAAAATTAATGAGAAGAAAGGTCATTTCTAGGTGATTCCATTTCTAAGGAATACTCTTTCAATTGAATAATTTATCTCGGGCTTTTCAGATTTTTATAAGGCTATATTTATTCAAACTAAGTCATATTGACTGACCAGAATTTCTATGTGTTCTAGCATTATTGAAAGAATGTAACTATAGGGGGATAATAATGCTCAATGAATACTAATGGTAAAAATGAAGATTAAGAGAAAAGTCCAGATGCAAACCTATCCTTGCATATGTACTTAAAAATACATCTTACCTACCTTCTTGATAATTCTTTCTTTAGTCTTTATAAATATTACTAAATCTGTAATAATATTGTGAGTTAGGAAGCATAGCAATACATGAAAAAGTTAGGAAACTAAATTGCTCCCCAGATAATATTTTAAATTTACCTATTACTTCTGAAAGGAGATAAACTCTTGAAGGAGGTGCTACCAGGCATTTCAGAAAATTTCTTCTCTGAATTGTTTGATTGAAGATTTCAACAATCTCTTTGTGGAAAACCTATGCAGTGACCCCAGATAGAAAATTTAAAACCTGTAATAAGATAGAGAAGTATTTTCATTCATTAAAATGCCAAAGGATTACTTAAAAATACAATATTAATAAAAATGTAAATCTGGTCATTTTCTCCCTTTAATTTAAGCTTGAGTAACAAACAACATTAGTTTAACCTAAAGATAACCTTAAAAATGACTTTTATGCAAAAAAAAACTTTAAAAGCTTTGAATTTGCCCTGGCTGGCATAGCTCAGTGGATTGAGCACAGGCTGCAAACGAAAGAAAGCATCACAGGTTCGATTCCCAGTCAGGGCACATGCCTGGGTTGCAGGCCATGGCCCCCAGCAACCGCACATTTATGTCTCTCTCTCTCTCTCTCTCTCTCTCTCTCTCTCTCTCTCTCTCTCTCTCTCCCCCTCTCTCTCCCCCCTCCCTTCCCTCTCTAAAAATAAATAAATAAAATCTTTTTTAAAAAAGCTTTGAATTTATTTGACAGTCATTCACTATTTTATTTTCCTACTGATTTTCCAGTTATATGTTTCATTTAGTTCTTTTCTCCTATCTCAGTCATTTTCGATTCATCCTTGGCTGACTTTGAAAACAAAATTTAGTTGAACACATACACAAAATAGAATTTCATGTGATATTTCAGAAGTAGCATAATCAAAAAAGATAATAAAATATGCTTTAAAATAGAACAATAACTTAGAAACTTTGTAAAAGCACCTTAGTCTAATTTTCTTTCACTGATCTAAATCTTAACTTCTCATCAATGTAAAAAGATATTTAAATGTAGTACTGCCTCAATCAACAACTATAAGGTCGGTGAGTCCCTCTAATATCAGTGTGTGTGAGTGATTTCCTTCTGAACATTCCTGTAACATTCAATGCTAAAGAATGCCATCCACTCAAAGGAGATATTGTCCCTATTCATAGTTTTCATGAAAATATGAAACAATTCATGTGAGGAAAACTTTCTTCTCCAACTGAACACTCTTAAAACTCAATAATAAAAATTGTATCCATTCAACGGAAACAATGCTATACAAAAAGTCTGCATAAAAATATACAGTAATCCAAATAAGTAAAAGTTCTCATACTAAGAGTTGAAGGGTTTTCCATGGGACACAGGTTATTAAGGCAGGTTTGTTCAGTTCAAACAAATTATTTTTGAAAAAACAATTACCCAATATTATGGGTGATACATATGTCAAATAAATATTAGACTCAGAAAACATCTTAATGCTAGAAAACACTTTTGCCTTTATTGTGTTGCACAGTTTGGTCACCTTGTGTGAACGAAAGCACGCATTATTTCACTCAGGTAAGTTAATCAGAGTTGTCTGACTTTTATTTTGGTATTTACATGGGGATTTATTCATTCCTGCTGAGGAGGCATTTGGAAAGAAGCTATTATTCATACTGCTGTGAGTGACTTACTGCTGGTCCCCATAGTATTTCTCCACGGTGACTTCAGAATGGAGAAGTGCTTTCACAAACATGCATGGTTCTGAAAAACAAGACTATGATTTCATTGTTGTAAAGTATGAACTATGTACAATCTGATCACTACTCCTACTGACCTTAGTTCAACAGGTAAGTGAAATTTTCACTGTGATGGCTACTTCATTCATGACTTAGTAAATTCTCAATGCTCATTTCTAAGGAAATAGCCACTGTACGTATTGTTACATGTCACAGAATGTTTGTTGACCTGGTCTGAGCATCTCTTCTTACATGGGTGGGTGTGTATGGTAATATACGTATAAATTTGGGTGAAGTCATTCGGTGGAGCCCAGTTGCACACACCTGTGCACACACACAATGCATCAACCCATCATCGTGTGATCTTGAACTTCTCTGACTTTAGACACTGATGTGGGTGCAAGAGAGCCAGTTTCTAATTCTATTTCTACAGGCATGGCTTCCTCACCTATAACAATAGTAATAACCTGTATTAGATGGGTTATGAATCAAATGATACATGCCAGAAAGTAATTAATATATTGGCTATAAAATGTGAAATCATGAAACTTTGCCATTAACAGTGTTAGTATTATATTTTTTATCATTGTTACCTATGTCATAAATTAAAATTTAGGTCATATATTTTAATTTTTTCAACCATTTCCCTCCTATTTGTTAAAAAATTATCGAATGGTTTCACTTTTAAAATTAAATATTTTTCCTGAAATTTATTCCAACATAATTTTTAAAAAAAAAAACCTCCCCATGTAGATTTGAAATATCAGTTGTACATTTTAAAAAGAGACACAAAATACAGCAGAATGGGTAGTTCTGCTTGGTGCGAAACACAGCCTGTTTTCTAAATCTAATTTTGGAACAATTCAATTGTGGGACAGACGAGGGGAATGGAAATGTCAGAGATCCATTTCTTTGTGTTTAAGAAACCCATATTCCCTGAGATGCAGGGGAGAATTGAGTCCATTATTCTGCAGCATTATTGAAAATCACTCTATTTCCCCTCTGGGTTTAAGGAGCAGGGAAGAATTTGTGGCCATCTAGTTACTATGTGGCATTACTGATGTAATGCATTGCATTGTAAACTTTCAGCCTAAAAGAAGTCTTGTTTCTCGGTGTCTAACTTATTGCAGAAACTCAAACCTTTAGAAAGGTGCAGGGATTTGATATATCTGGATAGACTGTCAATCTTTCCCTTTTAAGAGCTGAGTTCGTGGAATAGAGTCTCTTCTCTTCTCCTTAGATAATGCAGAAATCAGAGGGTAGCCATGCCCTGGCATGCTAGAATCTCTGCTTGTATCTCTGATGCGTGACTCTAACAAGTTTTTTTTAAATGAAGAGAATAACCATGACAACCAATTAGAAGTAGTTTTAGTGAACTATGAAACATGCTTTTGTCTATGAATTACCTTCAAAACTTCCGTTTTTTCAATTTAAATGAGGAGAATCTCTAATAGCGTACATATGGTGATCATCTGAAAGAAAAGTATGCCCGATTAATAACACGTAGACAATAAATATTAGTTATTTTACTATTAATTAAATGCTAGCAATGGGTATAGTATAAAATATTATTTATGATCCCTCAATGGATGAAAAATAATATATGACTTCCAGGTGTTTATAACAATCCCCAGATCCTAAGTAATTCTGAGTAAAAATATGATCAGTAATATGCCTGTAAATATATATATATATACATATATATATATATATATATACACACACACACACACACATATACATATATGTATACATGGCCCTTTTATTTTTAACCTTTAAATTTTGGGAACTTTAAGGTAGAAGTAGTCAGGATGAAAAAATTGATAGAAGAGCCATTGAATGAATCAAGACAGAGCATAATATGATTCCTTGCATATCCATCACCCAGCAGTGGTGCGGGCAAGGATAAAAGGCTGAAGAAGAGGGGAGATCAATCACATCATTCACGTACATACCACTCCCAGCACCGTAGCGTCTTGTTAGTGAAGCTTTGATCTGCGTGAGAACGTGCTTTGTGTGAATGCAAGGGCCCTCTGCATGGGCCTGTGCGTGAGCTCCTTGCCTGGTGAGGCCCCTGGCAGGTGGTTGGGCGCACACAATTTCCTGGATGAGTACATCGTTAAATGGGAGAATGAGTGAGTCAGTGACTGACTGAGAGAACGGATGAATTAAAAGACGCAGGCGAGTTCCAGAAGCTCTTGTTCAACTTCACATCAGAAGCCCTTGCGTGACCTAGGAAAGGGAGCGGCACCCTCCTCCATTTCATAGCAGAAGCGATGCCACAAGCGCAGGAAGGAGAAAAGGGGGCAGGTGCTGTCGGACAAGACTGCAGGCAGCGTTCAAACCACTTGATGTTTGTAAGAGTGAATTTACATCTGCGATGTCTTCGGCTTTAACCTGTTGAACACTGCCTGCCTGTAGAGACCAGATTTCTAGTCCGCTACAAAAACCACCACATCAGGGACTCGTTGAAAAATGAAATGAATATTTTTTAGATATAGGAGAAACACATTTTAAAATCCCACCTCAAATCGTTTCAAAGGAGCTATGGCTATGTTTTGCCTTCTGTGTCTGAGCTGAAATCTCTCATGCTGTTTCCACTCCTAATTGCACCCATTTATTTGCTCACACCATGGTTTTCACTTGGAATGACCTCCCTCCATCTCAGGCACGCTCTAGTACCTCGTACCAACAGCAGGGAAAGCTCATCTAAAGTGATAAGCTGCCCTGGCCGGTGCGGTTCTGTCACTCGGAGCATCGTCTCATACACGGAAAGGCTGTGGGTTGAATCCAAAGTTAGGGCACATGCCAGTGTTGCGGGTTCCATCCCTAGTCAGGGTGTGTACAGGAGGCAACTAATCAATGTGTGTCTCTCTGTCCCACTTCCCTTTTCTTTCTAGAATGAAGATATATATGTGTGTGTGTGTGTGTGTACAAAGAGAGAATGAGTCTGTCCAGAAGGTATCCAGGCATGTAATATGAAAAATAGAGACATAGATACAAGGTACAAGAAACATTGTACATAGGACAATGATGCCTCAGTCCCTTTCAAAGTGGGCACCTTGGGACCTCACACAGTTCTCCCAATCGCCATCAAATGCCTATCATATTCTCCTAAATCCCATCAATAGTCTGAAATCTCTTCCCTTTCAAAGGTGATTTTAATTTGTGATTTCAGTTTTGGGAAAAGTCAGAAGTCACAGGACCCCAAATATGGGCTGTAAGGAGACTGGGTCACCCCCTACATATTTTGTTGTTTTGCCAAATAATTCTGCACAAGATGTGATGAGCAGTCATGTTGTCATGATGAAGCTGCCAATCACCAGTTGCCCGTAGCTATGACCTTCTGAATCATCCAAATAGTTTCCATGGAGGAATGTTAAAGCTAACGGGAAATGTGATGCAGATTCATTGTTCTACTTGCTCAGTCATTTTGAATGTGACAGCCACACAGTTCACATGCTCACTAAGCAGTGTCTACTGCCTCCACTGACCAGTACAGTAAAGTGATCTTTGTTCACACATGTGCATTCCAGTCCACTCTCCTTGGCTGCCAGGTTACATCAATGTCAGGCAATGCATTCTTGTTATATTAACAATGGCTGGACTTTGTTCTGGACAGATCTCAAGTGAGGATTAAAAAATAATAATAAGTGAGGACTCTGTTTTCAACTCCAATTGCACTTCACTTTCCTGTCATACAGGACTTTCCAAATTTTACCTTTGCAGCTACTTGGTTTTTGCTTTTCCTATTATACATATTTTTAAGGATTGTATTGGTATATTTCTGTGTTTGCCTACATCCACTCTCAGAAACATAATATTCTGTATGCTAAAAGTAAATATTAAATAACTACTTGTTTTCAGATGAAGGAATTGTGTCAACTGTTACTTTATCTAATTGAATTATTGCGATTTAATTTTAGCAACAAACAAAGGATACATGAGAGAGTGAGGTATATTTTTGGTTTAAATAGAAGGAGAAATTCCAAGGAAATATAAGATTATTAAACCAATTACAAGCTTGGATAATGATTATCTACTTACCAAAAACAGAACTTTGGAAAGACATATTTGAGGATAGTAAAACAAAGAAAAAATGACATGATATCTTACAAGACACAGTTGAAGTAATAAGCATGCAAAACTCATGCACTTAGACTAGATTATTATCATCGACTTGTGTCTTACTCATTTTAGAAGACAGAATGTTAGCCATATGTAGGAAACAATACATCGGAAAGATCAGTGGATGCATCACATTGTTAAGATAGATAGTCTTCAGGACAGCAAACTGAATGAAATGAGAGATTCTAAAAGGTACAGTTATCGCACTTTAACTATGTTTTCCGTAGTGCTGAATTTCATGCTTTTTTATTTCCCTCCATCTAGAATCTATTCAGAAAAAAATGATGATATCTGTTTTTTATGTTCCCCCTTGATAATTGGTCATATTTGGTGGTAAAAGGAAGCCCTCCCATACTATCCAGGAACAAAACCTTTGTTATAAGTCTTTCTCAGAATAAAAACTATCAAAGAGATCAGCAGGGAACCTGTCCATGGCAATTAACCAGGTCCATTTGAATAGCATAATTCTGGGAAGCACCTTCCCAGAAAGGGGCCAATAGCCACCTCCACATCTCTCCTAGATGAATTGTAGCATTGGCATTTGCCTAATGGAGCAAGAACGCAACATACCACAAAGCAATCAAGATATAACTAGAGCAAGCCGGTCTGGAATAAAATTGTAAATTTAGGTTGCAGTTGAAACCGAAGTACTACTATTTATTTTATGTAGCAGTTTGATGACCTAATGAGGTGAATCCAGCTCAGCATTTGCACAATTTGGGAAAGTGACAGAAGCAAACATTCTATTATTGAGTGGAAATCACAGGAAAAATATGCAAGGTCAACAGCAACATGACTGAAAATGTGTGCTGAGGCTTTAGTTGTGTTCAGTGGAATAAAGAAACAAAAGAAAAGATAAAAGGCTTGGAATTGACGAGAGACTTTAATCTCGAATAGAGTTAGCTTAGTTTATAGCTATAATGCCAGTGGTGTTTTATTTAGAAATGCACTTGATGCTGCTAATGCTGATTAGATACCTGTGACAGTATAAACAACAGAGCATTCTTCCCACTTGTCAGTCACAGATTCAACAAGCGTACTTTCCTCCTCCCCTCCCCTGACCTTCTGTGGTTGACGACATAACTTTATCTTTAGAGAATTAACTACTGGAACTCCCATTGGCGGTTTTCTCCCATTTTGCAACAGAGCATCAGTAAGTATGTATACTGTACATCAGGAACCTGGTTCAGCTGATGTCGTGAATGTTTTTCTTTAGAATTTCTCATCAAAACTGCTGCTTCTTTGAAAGCTATGGGCTCAGAGTAAGGCAAAAGCACAGAAAATTGTCATCCTTAAGTAGATCATTTCCCTCACTGTATTTTGCATAGACACAGTCAGAATGCTTCCATAACAGGATCAACAGGTTTGGCTGGGGAAAACACACACACACACACACACACACACACACACACACACACACAGTGTCTTGCTACTCTCTCCTTTAAAGTGAATGATTTTAAAGTTGGATTACCATAGAATGAATCCTGTTTTTTAGAAATAATTCCTAGAATAATTAAAAAATGTATTAATTTGTGCTTTTTCATTTGGTGATTCCCAATTAGTTTAAGAGAAGTTTATATGTTGTGGAATCCAGTATTTAGAAGTTTCGGCACCAGTATTTTATTGTTTGGGTGTATTTACATGACAAATATTTTTGAGATATCACAAGGATTTTGGAGTATTTAATGTAATATTTGTTCACAGGGATTTTGAGTAGTGTAATAAATCATTATTCAATTATCATGTACTTCTAGTGGGCTCTCCAATGATAACAAAAGAAGAACCTGTGCTAACGTAATAATTCCTAAGTTATAATCACAGTGCTGGAATTGTCAATAGCAGTCCATACTTTAGCAATGATAATTCTGAAATAAACATACATATAACCCACCTACAATGTGGTCCAGTTCACTTTGTCGACCAACTTCTTTCTTTGGGGAAGGCGACTTATACACAAACAGCAATTCAAAGCTCATTAAAAATAGCCAGACACCATTCTAGGTGCCCCACCTTTAATGGATACCTTTTTCAATTAGAATTTCTAGAAATTTTATCAAATAACAGCTTCTGACTTCTCACTGTTTATACAGTCTTACAACTGTGAGATCGAACTGCTTTGTCTATATTTACTGATCGCCTACAAAGCACAATGTATTGTGCTATACGTCGATTACGAGTGGAAAGCCCCTTATGGAGTTTGAATCAAATTCTAACTTTGATAATTGCTAAATTGATCAGGGAAGGCCCTATTGACTTTCAATCTGATACCTTAAACTGTCCCTTTGACCGTGTCACCAAAGTCGACACCTTCAACCTTCTGAGAGAATTTATGCTATAAAGTTATAACCGTTATGCAATTCAAAAATCACATAATTTTAAGTGCAGTGGATACACTTTATTGATTTTTTTAGAAGTTGGATTGCTTTCCTGTGTACAAACTGTGGTTTTTAGATGGGATTTTGATGTGTTCAGTGCACTGCAGTGGTTAACTGGTCATTTAGCATGATTATTTCAGTCAAAATCTGGTTTAAAAACCCATTTCTGAGGGAGCCACCTACGAAGCTCCCACAGCTGGGTTTCTGGGGGAATTTGGGGGGATGAGTGGCTAAGCGCCTTACCTGGGTAAGGCTGGCGCAAACGGAGTGGATTCATACAGACCTCTTAGTGGAGGCAAAGCCGCTCCTGTCTCCCGCATTTCTCAAGTCTCACAGTCAGTGTCGATCTGGCTGCTCGGAGAGTGAGAGCAGTTCTGTTTGTTTGCTTCCCCTGCTGCCCGCACGGGGACACAGTGACCCTCCTCCTCAATGTCTGTCTCATTCTCCACCCGGGGACTCGCAGCCGCGCCCATCAGCCGTGTCCCCACCTCCGCTCATCTCCCATGCCTCTCTCCCAGCACCGGGAGGTGAGGGCTCGCTCTAGGTCCTCGGAGCCGCCAGGACCCTGCGTTCCTGTCCCCCAGGGAGCCTGCCTGCCTAGTTGTCACCTGCTACTGCCAACTCCTAGCTCAGTGTTTAAAGATATTTTTACTCTGCCTTTTTGCCACAAAAGATAACTTTACTTTGTGCAAATGCCTGACTGTATATTTGTGTATTTTTTATTTTTTTTTCAGTTTTATTGAGGTGTGACTGACAAACACATTTGTGCGTATTTGAAGTGTACAAAGTGATTTTTGACATATCAATACTTCGGGAAATGAATACCACAGTCAGGTTGGTGAACACATCTAAACCTCACACAGTTCCCATTGTTCCTGTGTATGGTGAGAATGTTTAGGTCCTACTCTCTCAGCAAATGTCAAGTACACACAAGGCAGAGAGAAGGGAATCAAAGCATGCTGCCATGGAAAACTGTCAGTTCACAAAGGAAGATGGCAAGAGACAAAAGGAAAGGAAAACAAGAAACTATAAAACAACCAGAAAACAGTAAGATGACAATCATAAGTCCTTAACGGTCCATGATTACTTTAAATGTAAATGGATTAAATTGTCTAAATCAAAACCACAGAGTGGCTGAATGAATGAAAAACAAGACCCAACTGTGTGCTGCCTAAGAGATTCGGTTCAGCATGAAGCCCTCACCTAGACTCAAAGTGAAAAGAAGGAAAAAATACTCCGTGTAAATAGACAGCAAAGGAGAGCATGGGGAGCTCTGCCGCGCCAGGCTGCCGTATTTTTTAATGAGCACATTGAGGAATTATCCTTCCTTTTCTCTGGCTCCCCTTTTCTTGTGGGAAAGTCTGCTGTCAGTATAAATATATTTTTTAAGATTTTATTTATTTATTTTTAGAGAGGGAAGGGAGGGAGAGAGAAAGAGAGAGAAACATCAATGTGCGGTTGCTGGGGGTTATGGCCTGCAACCCAGGCACGTACCCTGACTGGGAATCGAACCTGCGACACTTTGGTTTGCAGCCTGCGCTCAATCCACTGAGCTATGCCACCCAGGGCTATAAATATAATGTATTAATATGTCTAATCTATCTTATAGCTCTAGCTGTTCATGATTACTATTTCTCCTTTTAACATGGCCTACTGGTGATTTGTTGAGGTTTGTTAATGTGATTATCAATACTATTTTTAAATTAACTATTGAATGTTCTCATTGGTTACCCTTAAAATATTGCTTCTATTCTCTCTCGCCTCATCATCAGTAATTTAAATACAATATAAAGTCCTATATCTCTTTTCATTTCTTATCCATATCTTCCATGGCTTTTTAGGGAGAAAACTTTCTTTTTACTTTCTGTTTACTAATCTTTTGTTTAGTTGTCAAATAATTCAGGTAACAATACATTTCAACAATTATGTATTTATTTTTAGATAGTCTATTTGGCTGTGTCTCAAAATGTGCTTGGTTAACTTCAATAACCCTTCCTTAACTGGTAAGATTTCTGCTTTTCCTTTGTTTTGATCTCTGAGGATTTCTTTCTTGCCATCATATCCTTGAAATATTTTACTTGATACTTTTATTAAATTTTTTTCCAGTAGGAATATTTATCAGATTCCTTCGCTTCCATAATGTTGCTAAAATACTTACAAGTGTTTATCTTGCAGCTTTCTGATTCAGCCACTGAGTCTCACTTAGGGGCCCTCATCGCCTTTCCCAAGTGAAGCTTACTTCGTAGGGCGCACAGGACCGAGAGAGGGCAGCAGTCCAAAGCCAGTTTTGGGTCTGCATGACTGGGCGCATGCTGCTTGGTATCATTCAGGCTGTGAAGCCACTTCCTCTCACCCTGAGGTTTGCCTGCAGGTAGAATCATTCCCTCAAAATCGGATGAGATTCAGTCTGGAAAAGGGCCAGCTGGCCGCCCAGCTACACTTGGGTTCCTAGTCAGGCTCCCCTTTGACATTTTGCTATCAAAAGTCCCTTCATTTTTGTTCAATAATTGAAACTTTCTGATCCCTTGTGATCTGTCTACATGCGTAAACCTGAGCAAGTGGAGCACTCCCATTTCCTGAAAGGTACCAAATATAGAATACGTTAATACATCTGTGTTTTGAACACTAAGAAATTAGCAAAGCAGAGAAAGGAAGACCAAAGATTATACATGGGGAGCCTGGATTAAGCCCACGAGGTCTCTTGCTTTCACCACCTTCGTTGCTTCTTCTCAGGCCAGGGTGGTGGCCTCCTGGAGTGGGAAACCAGAGACATTGTGTAGACAAAGCAACAGGCTCAGAGTGTTATGATACTGCAGACTTGACCCAACAGGACGGATAAAGGGGAGCTGTCTTGTGTCTCACTTGTGTTTACCGTGAACTCTTAGGCCAATGTCCCTGTAACAAACAACAGGCCTTTATTTTCCTTTGTCTTCTAAACCTGTATTACCCCACAGACCTTCAGAAAAAATTCTGGCTGCTCAGGAACAGGATTTCTAGCATTGGGAATGTTGTGAACTTACCTTTTAACTAGATACAACACATTTTAGAAGCCACGTCACTAGGAGAGCCTAGAGCTCACCTTGGGAAATCAGAGATAGTGTCTGGTAATTTGTTTATCATGCTCCATCCTATACATATCACCTTATCGATTCAACACGTGAAGCCTAGTTTTCCCTAATTTGAAATGAATAGGAGACATAATAAAAATTGATCCACCAGGGAAACATCATAGAACAACAGTTAGAGAAAGAACTGTTTGTAAGGTTTGTTTTCCATTTTTAATTCAGTAAATACCTTTTCTTCCCTAGGAGGCAGCCACACTATTACCCAGTAAGGTTGTTTTGATAAGACCCTGGGTGCTAAGTTGGTTACAAACAGCAGCTGCAGGAGGTAGGATTGCAAAGTGCCTGGGGTCAGCCTCGGTTGTAAAATAGCATCACGTGGGGAGCTCCACAAAATGCAATCACATAGGCCCCAGCTCCACAAAATCCAGTTTAATTTACCTTGGGTGCTGGCTGGAGACTCCTAGAGGCACACGTGAACAGTTGACATAGTGAAGCCATTTGCAGTTGGAGGCAGCCCAGTCATTCCAGAGCAAATCCTCATGTTGTGTCCCTGGGGCCGTGGCAATGTTTAAACTGAGTACGGTAACCTTTGGACTGGGTTGAACAACCTTGTCTCACAAACAAGTGTTTATAAAACTAACACAGAGGCAGATATCCTGAACACAAGGGCTGCTGATACAGAACATTCCTTCTGGAGACAGAATCAGTTAGCACGCACAGCTAAGGAATAAACTCAGCTTGTTAACACAAAGAGCAATTCCCTTCCTCTATTCAGGTAATTGTTTTCCTTCTTTTTTTCATAAAAACTCCTTGCCTTCACACTCTGGTCAGGACACAGTTTTGGTTCCTGCCTAAATCTGTGTCCAATCATTGCAATTCTACGATCTCAAGTAAACATGTTGCCCTTTACTTTTGGCACTTTATTTTTTTATTATTAAAAAAAAATCTTCACCCAAGAATATGTTCATTGATTTTAGAGAGAAAGGAGGGAAGAGAGAGAGAAACATCAATGTGAGAAACATGATTGGCCACTTCCCCTAGCACCAGATCAGGGACTGAATCCACAACCTACATGTGTGCCCTGACTGGGAAAAAATCCCCACAACATTCTGGTGTACAGGATGGTGTTCCAACCCAGCCACCTAGCCAGGCCTGGCTTTTGATTTTCAGGTTAACACAGGAAAGCTCCAATATGAAGACCAGATTGAGAAAAATCGGCATTAAAATAGAAAGCTTTTGTTTTACATATTGCCGAACCCCTTGATTCTAGCCCCCTGTTTGGTATGGAGTAAGTGCTCAATACACATGTAGTGTGAACAGAGGGAAGGAACAGGGAAATTCGTTAAAGTGGCAAATGCTCAGTGGGGGTCAGAGTGAAAGTCTGGAGCTCTTGGGAGCTGCATCTACAAGAGGAATTGGGCCTTTTCCCAGGCTCTTTCTAGAGCGATCACGAGTACTATCCGGAGAGGTGCTGAAGGTGGGAGAACGTTCTCCATGGGGGGAGGGGGGTGGTCCTGCTAGAAGGAGGGGGAGGACTGAGTCATTTGGAGATGGGCAGCAAGCTCCATTGCCCACGGGGCGAATGCGAACACCCAGGGCAGCTTGGAAAGGGGGAAAGACGAGAAAACCCTGTAACCCAGGAGAGGAGCAAAAACCAGTAGAAGTTTCCTACAATAGAGCTGTCCCTTCCCTGGGGGAGTGTGGGTGGACCCCTGAGACCAGTTCTGAAACCCAGAAATACAGTGGCTGCCTAGAAGGCAGGAAATCCTCTCCCATAGCAACACTTGCAAGTGCCCAGTCTACCACTCCGAGATGAATGCAGAGAGAGACCCATTTTGAGGGACAGGCACCCACAGAAAGTCTAAAGCAGGAAAGCGGCATTAAGAAAAGCACTTCAGCCAGCCAGACACCACCCTGAGGACAAGGTAACAATGTATGATGCTAATGGGGCACTGAGACCACAAAACCCACACTGCATTCAATTCTTGGGTAGGTTAATTCCACTCCCCCACACTAACTTACTAGGAAAATGGGCACACACACACTCCCAGTTACATGACTTTTTTATTTTTAAAGATTTCATTTATTTATTTTTATACAGAGCAGAAGGGAAGGAGAAAGAGAGGGAAAGAAACATCAATGTATGGTGGTTGCCTCTGCGTGCCCCCTACTGGGGACCCGGTGCACAACCCAGGCATGCGCCCTAGACTGGGAATTGAACCGGTGACCTTTTGGTTCACAGGCAGGCACTCAATCCACTGAGCCACACCAGCCAGGGTATACTTCCAGTTATAAATACAAAGTAAAAATGACACACTCAGGTATGATCCAGGTGTTGGGACAGACAAGAAATTTGAAATAGCTATGATTAATATGTTAAACGTAGAAAGACACGTTGAGCAGGTAAGAGCAGCTGGGGAGTTTCACAGAAAAATAGAACCTACAAGAAAGAATCAGGTAGACATGTGAGAAGAAAAGTAGCAGAAATGAAAAGCCCCTTTGATGTGCTGACCAGTAGACTTGACACAGCTGAAGTAAAAATAGGCGAGGATAAGTAAGTAGAAATAACAAACAACAAGTCACCATGGGTGGGGGAAGAGTATAAAAATAACAATATGCAAACAACAAAATTAGAATCTCTATAAACTCTGGAAAAATTTCAAACAATTTAACAGGCTAGTAAATGGATTTCTAGAAGCAGAAGAGAGAATGTTGTAGAAAAATACTGTATACATAGAAGATCAAGTAATCTATTAAAATATTACTAAATCTGATAAATAAGTTAAGCACCTTAGTAACTGATGCCTTAATTGCTCAGCTGACTATGTCTTACATAAGCTTTGGTTATGAATAGAAAATAAGATATCAATGTGGTGTGAAACCATAAATAGCCATGATGCAGCATGACAAGTATTAAAGTAAATGCTTAAAGTTGCATGAAAGCTGAGTGGAGAAATATGTTAGTTTGGAGTAGATTCAGTAGTGGATTAGTTAAAATCTTACAATTTCAAAAATAGCCTGAAATGATAATAATCTAAATTATGTATTGAGTCATACATAACTCTTCATTTAAATGTGACCAACATGATTTTCATTGAATTTATTGGCATGATATTGGTTAATAAGATTATATAGGTTCCAAGTGCACATTTCTATGAGACATGTCCACCACCCAAAATGTGACTAACATTATTCATTATTTTTAATCTTCATTCAATGCTATGTTTATTGATTTTAGAGAGAGAGGAAGGGTTAGGGGGATGGAGAGAAAGAGATATTGGTTGCATCCAGCATACTCCCCAACGGGGGATCGAAACTTCAACCTAGGTATGTGCCCTGGCCGGGGATCGAACCCTCAGCCTTTTGGTGTAGGGAGGATGGTCCAACCAAATGAGCCACCTGGCCATGGCAAAGCTATTTTTTTTTAAGATTTTATTTCTTTTAGTGAGGGAAGGGATGGGGGGAGAGAGAGAGAGAGAGAGAGAGAGAGAGAGAGAGAGAGAGAGAGAGAGAGAGGGACATCAATGTGCGGTTGCTGGGGGTTATGGCCTGCAACCCAGGAATGTACCCTGGCTGGGAATCGAACCTGGGACACTTTGGTTCCCAGCCCGCGCTCAATCCACTGAGCTACGCCAGCCAGGGAGGCAAAGCTATTTTTTAAACCATTCCTGCTCTGATGTTTTATTTATACCACAAATACTGATTTCTCAAGGAATAAATAACCAAGGAATAACTTGGTTACACTGAAAAAAAAAATACACATTAGTATAGGCTGATAAAACATGTAACCACCCCTCCCAATCACATAAAAGGCATCTTATATTGGAAGAGATATACACTTATTTTGGGAAATAATTTCTCATGACTCCAAATGCTAAAGAGTCTTTGAAAGAAATGTTAAATTAGAAAAAATAAGCACTTGGTATAAGATGTTATACAGTCTGAACATTAGTCTGGTGTTAGTAGTTTTAAGAACATAATTTTTCCTGATGCAACAGATATACAAAAGCTGTTAAGGAGGAAGAAGATCACTGGGAAGAGAGGAGAACAATGATCAACGTTCAGCATGCCACAAGTTCCGGGGCAATGAGGCTCCTGGATGTGACCAGTCTGTGCATTTCCTACTGTTCAGAATGCAGCTGGGGATGGGGAATATGTTTGGTAATGAGCTCTTAAGCACATTTGTAGTGTGGGATCAAGTTCTTACTTGGACGAGTGATGTTCATTGAACCACAGCCGATTTTAAAGGGATAGAATATAGGCCAGCGGATTTCTGTGACACATGCATAACCTTTCTGTAAATGCGCCGCCTTTATTTTTATATCAAATAAATGCTGGGGTTTCAAGAGGCATTAGTCATAAATAGGATATAGTTTCTCAAAGGGAACAGAAAAACCTAGCCTATAACATGCTGAACCCTGGGAAATGAAACACCAAATCATTTCTCCTTTAACTCCGAAGGAAGCCTATATTTTTTATCAGTCACTTTGGCAGAGAAAGAAGTCACTAGAGTTTCACAATCCATCTCTGTTTCTATTAGGTTGTCAATTTGGTTTGAGTTTTCATCAAAGCTGGATTAACAACAGCCGGGAGAAAAAGTTGTCTTATCCAAACATTCACCAGGAGGCAATGAGAAAAATCTATTAAATTTGACACAGGACAACCGTACTTATTCAAGAAGACGCTTTGAACATTTGTAAGGTGAAGGCAACTTTTTGTAAAAGTTGTTCAGATAATCCTCACAAATTTAAGATTTAAGATTCTACTTCATGAAAAAAGCAATCTAATTTAACAAAGGAGAAATAGAGCTATTTCTATATGTATTATTAATTAAGGAAGCATTTTAAATTAAGGAATTAATGTAGGAACCCAAAGGAAAATCTAATCAGATTCCGAAAACTATCAGGGCCAGATTATAATACAAAAAATAATTCTGCATAATAAAGGATACATATTATTCCTGGTTTAGTTGCAGGGCACAAAAAGGGTTTAAGGATTGCTATATAGTGCAAGTTGTATATATTTTTAAAATAAATATTTGAAATAAACATTATGAAATATTAATGTTTACTAGTTTGGCTGATGGGAACACAAGGATATATATAGTAAATTCATTTCTGGATTTTCTATAGATTTTAAATATTTTTCACCATTTTTAGTATACAAATAATAAAATTTTTTTAAATGATAGCAGGTCTTTATTAATAGTGTCCTGGATAATAAATTTGATAAAGAAAGCCATAATACTTTTGTGGTGAAATGTAGATTGTAAATCATGATCTATTAGTTTGCACTTTCTAAGAAAAACCTAATAAAATAATACACCATTACCAATGAAGAAATACAATAATATATAAAGACTTAGAATAAGAATCTACACCTTTATGAAGAGAAAACAGAAAAAGATCTGCTTTCAGTGGGTGTTGCATACTTACAGATTGAAAATCTCAGGTCAAATGGTACATCAGTTAATGGATTAGAGTTGCATAAAGCACAATTCATAAAACTGTATTTTTTACAACAATGTCATGTTGCACTGGGAAACAGAGTTCCTA